TAATTTTTTAATGATTTATATTCTCCCATATTCAGTGTTTGACAGTAAGGGAGCAAGAAAGCTTCCTTTTTAAACGGCAAAACCAATTGGTATCCATCCAGGTTAACAAATGGCCAAAGACATGACAAAAAAGTTGGTATCTGAAGAAACGCCGTTCAAAATAAAAGTTTTGTTCTGATTACACAAAAAAAACCCCAAAAGATTTCAGGCAATAAATAAGAATAAAACAAATTTGGATCATTCTGTGGTCTTGATTGACAAACTGTTAAACAACAATGCTTTCCTCAACAAGTTATCTTGAACTGGAAAGACATAGAAAAGGGTTAATGGTCCTCTGAGACCATCGACTCAGAGCCTAAATTGATGAAAAATATACTGACCTAAACTTTTAGTGATGCTCCAGTAGCTTCTTTTGTTGTTTTGCTTTCTGCTTGCTTATATTGATGATGTATTTTGGTCTCAACCTTATCCTCTGCAAGACTGACTTGCTCTGATCAGTGATAGCACACACATGACGTAACTCCGAGATAACCCAAAAAACTCCAAGATTTTCAAGATTATAGACAGAAAGCTAACTGTGTTTGAAATTTTACGGCGTCATGTTGCTTGCATACACTGAGGCTTTCTGAATGGAGTGATGCCTTTACATCCCCTCTCTGAGTAGTAAGGTCTTTTGGGGTTTCATCCAATATAAAAGAAGAAAAGTTGACATACAGTACAGGCAGAGAGAGAACGAAGATAATAGTGTGTGGCTTGTTATGTGCACCTATTTTAAATGAGTCTTTCCATTCCAATGAAAGCAAATTTTGTGTGGAGTTTGTAAAATAGCAGGTAAAAGTACACTGGGCCTTGATCAGAATGATCTGTGTCACTTAAAAAATAATTGATAATGAAAAAAAGAAACAAATAATTCAAAACCTTGCGGTTAATCTTCAAACTGACATGAATAATCTGGACACACATCTCTGGTCTTGGCATTTCTGCTCTTGTTCCAGGTTCAATATAAACATTTTGGGGTGAGATATATATTTTTTGGCCTTTATTCAGCGGTGGGAAAGAAAATTGACACGTCCTGCACCAGAGGGATGCACAACTGGACCCTGACCTGGACCGGCTAGGGCCAGGATACCATCCATAATTGCATCCATCTGTATTTTAAATTAACCTGAACGTCATTAATGTGTAGCATTAAATGTTTAAATATCTTATAAAAATGGAATAGTGTACTTTTCTGTGTATACTCACCTCAGACTATGGATGTATTAGATTTCTTCTTGGCTTTTCATATATTAATTCGAACTTATCATTCAGCTTGGACCAAGCAACTGTAACCAGAGTACAGAACTTTAAAACTTCCATATGTATCACTACTATAAATACTATGGCATTATAGCATTTAAATGCAGCATTACAATTGTCTGTAAGAAGTTAATTAGAATTACCAAACAAAGACATAAAAAATGAACACCTTAGATAAGAGGCCTTATTTATGCCCGTCAAGCTAATTCACATTCACTTAGCTGGGAAAATGAAATCAGATCTGATGTGTCCAAATTTGAGTATAACCTATGAATCACAGGTTTGTTTGGGTATACAAAATTAAATAAGTAAAACACATTTTGTTGGTCTAATAAAACATGGCTTTCGGGTTGGAAAATCCATGGGATTTTGAAAAATACAAAATATGATTACTGTAGTAATTATTTACAATTATATTATTGTAACTGTATTAATTTTTGGGAGTATTTGTGCTGCAAATTCTAATAGAATCGGACCTAAGTGGTTGAAAGGCGCTCAGTAAATTGTATACTGTAAAAGCAACAGCACTGGATGAGTTCCTTTGGTTTTTCTCCAAGGTTGGAAAATGAGACAAAAACCTGGTTCTGTCTAAATCTCACTCTAACATACAGTTTGCTTCGTTTATTGGATGTTGTTTTTTTTAACAGTTCCTTTGCATACCCGTGTTTCCCATTTGTGATTATCATGTGTTTATCATGTTATTATATCGTGTTTTTTTTTTTAAACTTTCGAACAAGCACATTGAAACATAGATATGTTCTCATTCACAACAGAGTATCTTATTATAAATCAAGTTTAAATTCCTATAGTTGGAAGACAGACAGTGGAGCTACACATGCATAACGGATACAAATGAACCCCACAACCGAAGTGCATGTCAGAAAATGTCAGAAAAAAAATACATGCAAAATAAGTTGAAAAGATGACACACACACACACACAAACACACATGCCATGCCCAAGAATAGAAATGATGGGACCGATGAAGTAGTGTGTAAGAGTAGACAGTGACTGCGAGCCAGAGAAGGGCGATAAATCATACAATGCGCTTCCCAGATGTCTTAAATATAATTAAGGGAACTTGTGGAAGGGGGGGGGGGGGGGCAAGGAGGTGCGAAACACGTGTATATCTATTCAGCCTGATGGTTTTTTAAAACTGTGACTTACACCTGCCAAGCATACAAAGTTGCTGAGATGGCTGGATATCACCGTATGAGTGACAAACATCAACATGTGTCTCCAAGAGAAAGAGCAGTTTGCTCAGATTTTCCAATTGACACTTCCACGTGAAAAGAAATATAGTTTCAAACTGCCGATCTCTTGTATGACACTCCGTGGCTTAGCGCCTTCTAAGAGTTTGCGGCCAAATGTCCACTTTCCATGCGGGACGTGGAACGGTTCCCAGTGAGTCATGGAAAGGGGATCTCGCCCAATGAAAACACCCCGGGGAGGCGCGGTGCGTTGACGTGTTGACATACAGGAAATCGAACTGTATCTGCAGTCAGGGAGTTCTTTAAAAAAAAAAAAAAAAACTTTTCCTGAAACTGTAGTGTTTTGAACCGTGCCATTCCCCATGCGGTCTCGACATTATTGTCGACATATCACCACTACGACTTTTAGAGTTTGACTTTGCTGTCATTGTGGTTAGGGAACGCTCATGACTTTGCATTTTTTACTCGTAAGAGCTACGGCGAACTTTGCTGTGAGTAATTGAACCTGTCTTTAACCAAAAGGTGAAACACAGGTTTGAAACTAACAGCACAGTGACAGTGTTCCATGCCTCAATGCATCTTTGTGCCGAACCATAAAAGAAATTCTGAAGTCTAGACAGTTTGCCAACTCAATATTTGTTGCCTGCTTTCAGGCAAGCTTTCTTTTATACAACTAAATAAGGTTTGCATTGAGGAAAGCCTGGGCATATCAGCACCATCAGCAAGAATCCATAACATTTTGCAAAGATTTGTCTGCTTGGGAAATCACATCATGATTATATTAAACTACTGAAACATTGAAAGTAAAGTGTCAGATTCTGGTTATTCAGAATATATCATTTTCCTCTAAAACTGAGATTACAACCGTAGGCTACAGTTACGTCTTGTAATTGACCTAATAATCTAAAATCCACATTTCCTGCCAACCACAAACAAGATTAAACGGGATTTTTGAGAAAGTTACGTTGCACAAAAGGAAGATTTCACAGTTTACCAGCTGCAAGGTTAATGTCACAGGTTAAATACTGAGCACCATCATAATTTTCGAGTTATATCTACTCTAAAGTTAGTAAAAGTCGGGCATCTTGATTTAAAAAATGCGACTAATCATGTTGAATCTTGCGGTCTATGGTGGTAAATAGCACAGCGGGTTAGTTTTCACAGCTTTTCGTTCCCTCAGCACATACACACACACACACACACACACATGATTTTAGCGCTCTGATAAGCTAACGGGGGTGAGACGGTCACAGATGCCTCCGCTGTTAGGCTGTAAACAACATCCCATGTCATCATGTCATGGCTGGGCATACTGCGCCTTCAGCGTGCTGACCCGCAGCCATGACGACACCATGAAGACGTACAGACTTCTTTTTTTTTTGTTTAGTTTAGTTTTTTACCTCTGAGTGGTACTCAAAATACAAACCAAAGCAAGGGATTGCTCGGTATGCATTATTTCAACGTTTGGCCAACATTTATTTTCCGCCCTGCCAAACCGTCCTCTTCCAAAGTGTCAAATGCCAAAGTCCCCGCTGATGAACACGCTGGTCTCATTTCAAGGCACTGATATGTCCCGCCAACAACAATTATTATCTGAGGCGGAGCTGAGATTAGAGGTGACAGAAGCATCATAGTTTCTTTGAGTGACAAATATTTCCAGCAGCCGTTGTAAATCTGGGCCGAGAGCGGCAAGCAGGGACCCATCCCACTAAAATATAATAAAACTAAATCTATAAATAAGTATAGATATAAAGCTATGCTATGAACTCAAACGAAAATAAATGCTGTATTTGACTTCCAGTGTAAGGTTCATTCATACATGTCTGTTAACACATAGCAGTGGGCAAGAAACAACCTTTTAGAATAAAAAAAATGATTGAATAAAAACTGAATTATCCTGAAAAAAAAATTCCCCAGCTTTCCCGTAGTAAATGTTTTGTGAACAGATGTTTTTATTTTAATATATTTTTTCCCCTTTTGTTAGTCATGTGTTGTTGTTGTTGGACAGTTAGAGATTTCATCCATTTTTTATTGGATATTTTATAGTTTTTATTTCACTATGTTTTGCTTCCACAAATGATGTTTTTTTTTTTTTTTGCACATTTCATATGTACACAATATTCTGTTTTATTAACCTTAAATCTTAAATAATATGTGGCCAGCAAGTCAATGCAGGTAATATCAAGTAACAAAAAATAGTGAATCATTTGTATGAACTTTTTTGGTTAGTTTATAAGACAATAATTTGAGAAAAGGCAATGTAACAGTAAAAAAATATCATCATGTCACTTAATTTCTCAGTCACCTGCTATCTTTAAAAACCATGACATCAAACTGAAGTCAGAATTAAAATGTTGATTATTAAAAATTAAGTCTCTTATGTTGAGTGGCACATGTATAATCATCTATACGTACAAAATTATATATACGTTTTTTAAACAGTATTTTATTGGACTGATGTTTGGCCCTTGGCCTCAGCCTGTTACTCACTGATTCGCTGCTTTTGTGAGGTTTGCGTTGGTCCAAGGAGCTCGTCTCTTCTTGCTGGTCTTCTGCATTTCCAAACCGCTTCAAAAATGAACTTTAAACAGTTTAATGTGAAGGACAAAAGGGCCCGATGCTGTTAAGGGAAAATAAAATGAAACATCCAAAACATGAGCCTCCCTCATGTACAAAGTAAGTCACTAAATAAAATCCTCTTGACTCTTGGATTTGACGCCTGTGTTCAGCCGGCATAGTGTGAAGTGTTGTGACCTTGCTCCCTCTATTTTACACTCCCTTCTGATCCCCCTCAGTGGCATCTCACGCGCACACACACACACACACACACGCACACACGCACACACACATAGCATTACCCCTCTTCTTCTTGTGTGACACAAACACACTTGAACCAGGGGAGGGAATTTTTATCACCCCTTCTAAAATGACTGCAATTCATTTAATTTCCATCCAATAAAAATGCATGTACTCCACAACATCCGAAATCTACTTTAGTTCTTTTTTGCAATGGTACATATAAAAGCAAACACGTAAAACCGTGCCATATTTCAAATGCTAAACTCTAAGAAATCCAATCGTTAGCTGATGTAAACATGCACATGGTTCAAATGGCATTTTGTTTTTTTTCGTGACATTTCATTTCAGGGGGAGTCAGTCAGGATAGCACCCAGGGATAGCCCTCTTTTACAGGATGGCAGGAATTACTGGGTCACAAGTCATAGCTTTGGTGTTTCGGGTTTCACCCGGAGCGCTGATTCAGAGGGGTAATGCCGGGGGATGTGAGGGGGAAGACAGATTGGAATGATGTAAGGCGATAGAGCGACACGTGAGAAGGGGGTCGGGCTAACATGGACATGTGTGGTGAGTCAACAAGAGAGAGGGGGGACATCCTAAGCAACACCGATAACGATTAGCTCGTTACCTGTCAGTGTTAGAAAATCGTGCCGTCCACACGTTGCCTGTCAAAAACATTCTTTTTCCACAAAAAGACACCCTGGACCCAATGGTTTACCTCAACATTGTAAATTGCTATTATCTCTACATGGTACTCCATAAGACTAGACTCATGGCTGAAGACGGGGGTCTTTTTATTTCCTACATTAATTATTTAACAAAGGAAATATACATATCTATATGTGTGTGTGTATATACAGTGCTTGTTTATACTTTATGTACCTTTTCCTCCATGTTTGCACCTTCTTTAATCACCAAGCCGATGTGTGACCAGTGAATTTCTCCACTCTGAGACTATAAAGCCTATTTTATCTTATTTTATCTTACCTTAAATCTGTTTGCTTCATTGGGGAAACAAGCATATTGTTCAATTTGAATTTTTTTTACCTTCAGAGACAGGATTTCATCTATTTTCAAGAATTCCATGCTACAACTCATGTCCACCTTTTCCTGTTTGTCTCAGAAATGCCTGTAAAAATTTTCTGTTGAAGTATTTTTAGCTGACCCTCAACATGGAGGATGGTCACATCCTTGTTTCAGGAGTCAGAAAGAGTTACATATTCGGCAATAAGTGTTTTGGTGTACTATGTATTTGTTACTGTAGTGGGAAAAAACCCTTTTGAGGACCAATCGGAGAGACGGGTAAAGAGCTGTACCATGTAAAAGCAGCTGGACTTTACATAGAAAGCGTACACCTTTAAATGGATTTCTCTCTTTATTTATTTTTTATGCTCTCGTTCCATAGCATTTTACTAACTTTAAATACTAGCTGATTGTACAGATGTCACTCAAATCTCTGTGTTACTCCCTTGTATTTTTATTTATTTTTCTTGTTTATACTTTATGCACCTTTTACTCCTTGTTTGCACCTTCTTTAATCACTAAACCGATGTGTGACCAGTGAATTTATCCACTGTGAGATCAATAAAGCTCATCTTATCTTATCTTAAATCACTGAGCAGTTAATAACTTCCATCTCTTTCATGTGAAAATGAACACCTCTGCTGTGTTGGCCTGTAAGAAGCTCAGTGCGTCCACCCGAAACCACAGAAGGAGAGGTGGTGACTGAAAAAAAATGAGTGATGATGCTTCCATTTCAGCTGCAGGTAAAAAAAAAAAAAAAAAGAAAAAAAAAAAAGAAAAACCCTGACCTGCGTGAAATTCCATCTGCGCGTGTCTGAGTGGGTGCACTAGACATGGCAGCTGTCCGCTAAACAGACGTCCGGCGGTTTTAAAAGTCTGCACGTCAGTGTGTTATTGTGAGACAGTGAACGCCACATACCTGTGCACACACTCGACCCCTTCGGGCAGATCTAAATGATTAAGTGTCAACAGTGGGGTTAAACACGATCCAATACAAAAATCACTCATTTTTATAGTCATTTATCAACTTGAATTTGTGAATTTAGGTTGTTCTTTGTACAAAAGAAAATTCCTATAAAATCTATTTGATTAGAGCAGAACATTAACTTACTAACAATGTTTAACCCTATAATGCCAAATGTATCATATTTGTCTTTTGGATCTGAGACTTTTTGCATCATTCAAAGGTAAAAGCTTTGCTCAAACCCCTGTTGTACACATTCAGATATACCTGAAAACAGCCAGTAGAAGACTACACCAAAATATATTTTTGACTTATTGCACGCTAATTTGATCAAAATAATGTCTGTTTTTTTTCTTCTCATGTTGTTGAGGGGCCAAAGAAAGACTTCAGACTTTAAAAAAAACTATATTCTTCCTATTATTCTTGGATCGTGTCAAGAATAAAAACCATCAAGTATGTGCATTACATTTAGCAGACGCTTTCAATCAAAACAACCCAGAGGATCAGATTACAGATACATTTAAGCAGGTTGGGGTTCGGTGTCATGCCCAAAGACACTCTCACATGTAGCCCAAAAAGAAAAACAACCGACCCACTGGGAGCCTCCGTCTCTCACCGGATCTACCGTTGTGGAGTTAGATGTAGTTCTCTGGGTTGTCCCCGGGTACTCTGGAGTCCTCCTACAGGCCCAAAACATGGAAGTTATCTTATTGGTGATTCTTAACTGAGAGCAGGAGTGAGTGTACATGCTTGTCTGTTGTTTTGTTCATTTGTGCTGGACTCCCGAGCCGTCCAGGGCCCGATAACGATACTGACCCCATGCCTGAGAATACGTTTAGAAAACGGAAGGATGGATTTCAGTTTGTCACGCTCCTATTGTGAATCTACCAGTAATGGTCAAAGAAGTTAGCCGCAGGAGTAAAAAAGCTAATTTAGGAACCGAGACAAACGTCTGGAATGGTGGATTCAACAGACTGGTAATCCTAAAACAAGAAAAGCACAACACGCTAGTAAATGAGAACTGGATACATTCACAGCATTCATACATTCATAACTTAAAACATAATGTTATAGGGAGAAAGGAAATACAGTAGAGGGATAAAGAAGTGAAACATTCTCTAATGGCTGTCCGATCAAAACAGCACACGTTCTGATTTTTTTAAAGATATCGACGACTGTGACAAACAAGGCTTTGCAATGACTTTAAATTTCTGATATTCACAACCAAAATCGTGACCCGTGAATAGCTGAATAATATTAATTAATCTGTCAGTTTTATGTAAGATTCTGTGATACACAAGTTTGCCAAAAGCATTGGCAAGGAGCCAACCACCCAGAGGGTAGCTCGTTTCTGTAAATATTTGTGAATGAAGGGGCCGCTTTCAGGGGCTCAGTGAAGGCCACTTGAGCAAAAAAAGCCCAGTCGGAACATTTACACACACCTTAATATCCCACAGTCAACTGTCAGAGGTATGAAAAACCTAAACCTAAAATAAAAAATCTTCAAAAATGGAGCTAGGTAAATACTACATAACAGTAAACATGTTCTTTTTTCCTTTTTTTTGTTGTTGAACCTCTACACAAAACCACATTTCTTGGTCTTAACGGCTAGCAGGAGTTTTTGAAACCTTTTGAAGTGAAGGCAACTGGTGTCGTGAGTGCCTCTGAGAACTCGATGGAATGAGATGGGAGGGAGTATCATGATGTGGGGTTCCAGTCAAAGAAACTCTTGGACTTTTCCATGGAATGCTAAAAAGAAAACTCACAAACGCACTATAAAACCTCGTGGGATGTAGTTTAAGATACCATACGAGCCGATAATTCTGATGAAATAGTGTGTGCTTGTGAGGAAAGGTAAACATCAGAGTGAGTGCAGCCTGTTCAGATATAGTTTACCAAGTACAGTAATGATACAAGACATTTTCAAATCAAAATACATGGTTGAAATCTCAAAAGAGAAAATTGTACAGCAAAAAACAAAAGTAAAGGCTATTCCGATCTGCTCTCGTTTTTCATCCGGAATAAAGCTGCACAACATTCAGCGGCTTGAACAAACGCACAAGTAAATTAGAGCCTGCTGGGAAAACAACCTAATCTCGACAACAAATGGATTTCAGTTCGTTTAGGAAAAAAAAAAGGTATAAAACATTTTTAAATATGCAGCCACCTGGAACCGATTTCATGTTGGGGAATCTACTCAGATGTTCCTACAGATTGCAGAAATTTGGATTATCAGTTTTTTCACCCCTGCTGGAAGATCGTGATGCTTCTTTGTAAGGTACTAAAACACAGTAAATAAACGTACAGCTAGAGGCATCCAACAGGAACTGTACATCGAAATAACATAAACCAACGAGCACATTTTGACTGGAAAGGTTTAAGAAAAACTGGGGCTAACATCTGGTCACATTCTGGTGGGCATCTGGATAGACTGATACACATTTCACTCGCTGAAGAAGTGAGTAGATGACAAAATGCTCATAGTTGATTATAGGATGCTTTTAGAAAACATATGGACCAAAGTTACAGCAAACAAATTTGAAAGTAACACAATTTTAATGTAAAACCATAATGTATTAAACACTTATAGAACATCCTGCTTAAACTTTAGAAGAAAAAAAAAGTGGATTTCTCTTTGAAAATATCAAATATTGTGAATAATCCCAGGCATCGGGGATAGCTTTCCATTCTATAAATGAACATGTCCAAACATGATTAAATGAATGGATCAAGTGTGAGCACATAATCACGCATTGTTTTTGTTTCTTCCAGTGGAGTTGTTACAGAGTTGATTCGGTGGAGAAAAGTGCAGAACGTGTTGCTGGTCATACACACACGCACACACACGCGCACACACACTCGCACATATATATGATTGGTATTAAACACCCAACCAGCAGATATCATCGGGATGTCGTGTTTTGATGTCTGGCATGACAAACTACAAACACTTTTTTTCCGTAAAAAAAAAACTAAAGAAATATACACAATAACATTTGTGTGCCTGCAGTGCATCACTGAGGAGGAGGAGGAGGCGGGGGAGGAGGGGGAGGGGGCATGGCGTGATGATGAGGGAAGCCAGGGAAAGGGACAGAGTTTGGCGGCCAGAAAGGAGAGGAAAACGCCGGGTTGAAGTACGACGGAGGAGTGTGAGGAGGCGGAGGGGCGGAGTAGAGAGAAAAGTTGGGCGGGGGGAAATGCTGGGGGGGGGGGTACGGGGCGGGGGGGCGGTAGGTACATGGGCGTGGAGTCTGTGTACGTGGGCGTGTACGGTCGGTGTGTGTTTCTGGGATTGGGGTGGCCGGTCCGAGGCCCCCCGCGTCTGGAGGAGAAATCTGGCACGTTGTGTCTCGGCTGCTTCACGGCATACTGAGCCACGTGGCTGGAATTATCTGAGAATAATAATAATAATGATTAAAAAAAAGAGATTTAAAAGTCAGATTCCGGCTCCTTCAGCTCTTCAACATCCTCATGTATTCAGACAGGAGTGCATGTTCATATTCAAAGTACCTTTATTGCCGTTGTCCTTCCTCCTCCTGGCATTCTTTTGTTTCTTTTTTGCCTCCTGCTCTTTCTCATCATCACTGAAATCTAAAGCCTTACAGGGAGAGAAAAAGGACATGAGGGTTAACAAATCTGTGTCCAGCAGCTTCCTTCTGCTTTTATTTGGCTGTAACATTTCAGACTCAAACTTCATGATCCAAAATATTAGTTAGAAAAGATAACTATATCAATTGTGGATGCACCTGTAAAACTAAAAATTAAAAATAAAAGCAATTGTAGTATTGAGAATGAAATATTCTCAGGCTTATTTAGTGTCTCTAGCCGACCCTTGGTTTACTTATGGGTCATATGTATAACAAGACTATTTTCAGGAAAAAACAAGCATGAAAGCATGCTTGAATAAACTTTTATCCTGGTAGTTTTATTATTAAGGAATGTTTCATTCAGTTTAATGGCAACACAAAGTGCTTTATATTGATCAAAAATGGAAAAATCATGAACAAAATAAAACCTCCATCCATTTTTAAATTCATACACAGAGTTATGATCTTTTAAAGCAAAAAAGTAAAAACCCTATCTGACATTATTGTGAAAATTCACTAAATGAAAAATAATGAAACATGTTAAAGATAAATAGGAGAAAATAAGATTAAATATGATAGAATTAAATTAAATTGTGTTAAACTCAGTCAGAATATCAAAAGGTGTGAGCTAAAAGTATTAAAAAAAATCATTCATCTTTAATAATATTTGTTGGATAAGTAATTAAAACTAGATTAATTACTGGATCCATCCATCCATTATCGTTACCGTTTATCCCCTAATGGGGTCGCGGGGTAAATATACTGTATATATATATATATATATATATATATATATATATATATAGTACATAAATGTGGATAAATATAGGTGTTAAGTTTTCCTTTAAAAACATCTTTCTGACGATAACAAGAGTCCTCGTGCCGCAGTTATTAACAAATAGCACTGACTATATAAAAAGTTATAATGCTGCAGACTGTCCTACTTAAAATAAACCTGGGATCTCTAAAAACAGTGAAGGAGGATTATTTTTTTCAAATGATGAATTCATTTGGTCTATTTGCTGAATCTATAAATCTACCATGCACTGTAACTGAACCAAAATGTTCATTTAGGCTCAGTTACAGCCGGTTTGCGGTGCAGGCGGAATGCTCCGACAGCTTACCTCCTCTGGTGGTTCTTGGTCGTTCTTCCACGATGCATCGGAACCCTTTAAACTGAGGGCGCAAAAACACAACTGTTGAAATGTCCCAGCTTCATTTCATATCGATTTTTAAATCGATATAAATCGGCTGTTCTTACAGTTTCAGCTGCTGGGTCAGAATGTATCCCGTGTACTCTTTGATGGCCGGCGCGTAGTAAAGGGTCAGTCCCTCCGTCAGCCCCTTACTGCTGATCTGATCCTCGGAGTTAAAGCGCAGGATGTACAGGGGGCTGGTGACGGGGCCGAACACCTCGAAGACCTTCGGCGAACGAACAGAACAAGGCTTTGTTACTCTGAGGAGAACGGGGAAGAGGAAGAGAGACAAGGTTTTTTTCTGTAGGCGCGCTCACCTTTCCCACGGCCAACCGGTCCGACCTAAAGATGATGCTCTCATCGTTCAGCGTCGGCGTGTCTTTTAAGGACTGGATTACCACTGAACAGACAGGAAACGCACGTTAAACCATAAATTCCAGATCCGAGGATCCCGGCACACGGCTGGAAAGCGTTGTTTTTTTTGTTTTTTTTTACCGAGCTGCTGGATGACGCGGGACACTGTTCCCACCGGCCGCAGCTCCGCTTCCTCCGGCAGAGTCACGCACACCTCCTCCACAGCCGGAAGCTCCTGCAAACAAAGCAGGGGCGTTTGAAAAGGATCTCAAGGGGCCCGGACGGCGACCCTTTACTGCAGTGTTTCCCAACCCTGGTCCTGAATGGGACTTTAGCGGCTTTCTGCATAGCTTAAAAGTCGTTCCATTTATTAGAATCGGGTGTGCTGGAGCAGGGCAAACTTGGAAAACATGCAGGGCAGTGTGCCTTGAGGGACCAGGGTTGGGACACACTGCTTTTACTGCATGTCGAAGGACACCTGGACGTTTGTAATGTGGCCAAAACTGGGACGGCGTGTGCGGAATTCACTCACACAAATAGCAAATGAATGGCGTTTTTTTGGCGATGAACACAAAACATTTCAAGCTAAACTAATTATAAACTGATAAAGGAAGAACATTCCGGCAGACTGACCTCAAGCAGGACTTCATTTCTAGTTCGGACTGGGGCGGGGAGGCTGATCCCCTCGTCGTCGAAATCGTCCTCCAGCACGCGAACAGAGAGCGACGAGGAAGATGACGAGGAGGAGGAAGAGGAGGAGGAACTGTCACTGAGGATGGGGAAATGCAGCAAATCAAAGACAAGTCCGGCGTCCAACTGAAATGACGACAAAAGCAGGCCGTGCTCTGACCTGTCGGAACCATCTGAGTCCTCCTCCACGCGGCTCCCGGGGTCACACGCGGGGTCAGGAAGCACCACGGCGGAGGCCGCGGCCGTCTGCACGCCGAGCGCTTCTTCGGGACGCGTTTGTGTGAGGGACGGAGCGCCGTTGCCCCCGGTGACGATGAGATTTTCGAGGGAGGATGTTATCGAGACCTCCACGTCCTGCTTTGGAGCCACCGACACAACATCCGCCTCCTCCGGAGCCACAGAGACCACCTCCTTCTCCACCTCCTTCCCAATCACTGGGACTTCTTGCTCCTTTGCTGGCGATAACGTCTGGTCACCTTGTTCTGGCAGGCTTAGGTCCATCTAGGGTGTTATTCAAACATGACAAACAAATAATGGCACCTTGGACATCTAAATAAACCCATTAATCAGAACATAGTTATACGTTAGAATAGATTTACAGATTATTTTAAGTTTGAAACATGTCTTAGCCCAAATGGTGTCTACCTTATTCACAGAGAGCTTCAGGTATAAACTAATTCAGTAATGCTGTTATTTACAGTACAAGTTAATGAATGACTGCCCCACAAATAACTGTACATTGGTCATATTAATTACAAGTTTTTTTCGAATGGGAAAACTGAAAACTATCACATATACCAGCTAATACGACGACCAGATACTATAAAGATATGTGAAATTGAGCTAAGAAGATCTTAAACTTGTTTGAGGACAGCTAGCGTGCTGGGTTAGCTTTCGGCTAACACGCGAAATAAGCGTTAATGAGTGTGTTGCTTTTAATGCCACGCGACCTCAAGACACCGGGACAAAATGCCGAAATTATTCCACGGTAAAGTTAGCAAAAAAAGCCAGGAAAAGCAGGAGTAAGAGCTCCTTTTTTATATACGAATACCTTGCTTGAAGAGCACCAGCGTCAGTGGCGCCAAGCTCGAGAGAAGTTCCACGAGCTTTCTCAGATTTACCGAAAAACTTCCTCTTTTTTTCAAAATAAAGGCAACAAAAGGAGCTTTCCTGTAGATAAGTACAACAAAACGAGAGGAATCGAATTAAATGCTTCAGCAACTTCGTTGAAATGATCAAAACCAAAAATATGATGGAATAAGCCTGGCATGGTATGTTTCCAAGGGCTTCAGGTTTTCTCCCTGATGGCTTTTTCCAAACAACCAAAATGCATGGTAAATACATTTCGTTATATGTATTACGAAATCTCTTGAAATAATCACACAAATATTTTGTAGATGTTAATTATAGATATTAACAACAATGTTTATCAAGTTAATTAATGCACATGTATAAATGTAAGCTACGAATAGTAGTATATTATTTTGACGGTAGCAATGAAGATTTCCGGTCGGGGTCAAATGTGTATGTTAGCTTGATGCAGCTACCGGCACATGCACGGTCCACAACATGTGGGGTTCTGTTTTTCCGGGTCTGCGCAAAACCGTGCGCGGTGCAACCTGTTTGCACGAGTTCCGTGTTTGACCAGATTCGTTGACGTAACGCCGTTCAAAATATAGATTATACAGGCTCAGGACGTATTTTATCATCCAGAGTGTTTTATTTTGTCTTTTTTATTAAATTCAATATTTTGAAAATTATTTATCGCAGACTTTTTTTTTCAAATGTATCTCTTAATCTTTATTTTCCCTCATTTCTCCATTAATTTTCCCAAAAAAGGAAGAAAAGCTAGTAATTGGCAAATAAGAATAGTTTAAACCTGGTGGACTTTGGAGTTCATTATTGACACATGAGTGAAATATTTGCAGTAATAGAATGTGCCACAAGAAAACGTTCAATAAATGGGAATAGGCATTTAGAGATATGACCATTAGATGGCATCACAACCCTTTATAACTCTTTTAAGAGTCTGTCACTGTGTAAAAAAGTTTTAAAATGTTTGGTGCTCAGGCTGTTGTGAGTTCTGAGTCTCAATCTTTTCGACTCAAACTGTAAAATTAAACATTTTTCCACAAAGAGGGGATTCAAAACCACTCTGTTAGGGCATAAGGCATATGAATTCCTGACATGTACATCCAAGGAATGTGTTCAAGACTTATGTTTTTACATGCTTTTTACTTCAGGGTAGCCAAATTATGGCAGTTTTGGGCTCTCTAAATCTTTCCTTGACACCCACCTGGCTGAATGTCTGTACAAGTTCTTTTAAAATTTGTTCATAATCCCGATGACAAATGGCATTTCCAGTTATGTGCAGTTGTGTTTCATATTGTGTTGATGTAACTCTTTTTTTCCCTTTTTTTCTTTTTTTTTTACTGCGAATTGTACTTCACATCGTAAATCAATTTTTTCTCATCTCCCCAAATCTCTCTCGCAGTTTTTCCCCTGGCATGGGAAGTCAGATAAATACTACATAAAACCCCAGCGATGCCGGCTGCTGAATAGCAGTATTGTTGCGGAGATAATCAGCTGGCATGGCTCTGGGTGGAGGCAATGCTCAAAGCACGGCCCCGCGTGCTTAATACCACATCTCAAACACAGCAAAAACAGGACAGCTTTGTGCCAGCGAGGTTTTCTCTGGAAAAACAAAGTGACATAAATGGCCCATGACATCATTCACGAGCTCTACGTCACCACTAAGAATAGCTGGACATGAAAGCACGAAGTACTCATATTTTGGTTCCCTTAAGGAGCTGAAAAATGTGCTATTGTTGTCCATTTGTGTGACTCACCTCGCCAGAATGCTGGGGCTGTGCCGGTATCAGAATCAAAGAGGAGGGGGAAATGTAACATCGACGAATTTCATGGATGTAGGAAAAATATGTTTTCTTCTCTGACATTTCAGAAGGTAACGGTGATAGCTTAAAGCCTTCAAAACCAACTCCAATTCTTTTGCTTTTACTGATATGGAGAAAAGAAAACAACTAAAATCAGACTTCAGGCTTGGGAAATCCTGTATGCAGAAACCCAAAGAAAATGTTGCAATATTATAAAAACTTAGCCTGCTTAACCCTTTAAAGCCTGATCCAAGAATAAAACAAAACAGAAAATAACTTTTTTTCTGCTTTGAATTCCTTATTTGGCCTTTTAACAAAATATGTAAAAAGAAAAAACAGAAATAAACTTTTAATATTAATAATTTATTACTATGCGATATCTCAAGATTATTTTTTGTGTAGTCTTCTGCCCCCTTTTATCAGGTATATCTGATTGTGTACAATAGGATTTTGAGCAACGTTTTTCCCATTAAATTACGCAAAAGGTGTCAGATGCAAAACATTTCAGAAACTGTATGTATCAAATATGATACATTTGGCATTATAGGGTTAAAATATATATGTGAACACAATCATATAACTGATGTTTTCTATTTGAGAAACATTACTTTACTCTTCATGCACATCAGTCATGACAGTTTTAAAAAAAATTGCATTCCAGAATGACTGTAGACTCAAGCTGCAAGTATGCAGCAGTTTGTAAAATAATTGAATAATGTAAAATTTTCCTCTGCTTCTCCACAGAAAAAAATATAGAACATTTTTTATTTGGTTTCAACAGGCTTGTTACAGATGGCAGAAGGTTCAGTGTAAAGAAACTTTGTATTAAAGACACGTCTAGAAGTGGTTCGGCTTTCCACGATCAAACACCCGTCAAAGAATCCCATCATACCTGGAAAGGAGAAACAACCGATCCTGTTTGTTGCAGAGCTCTTGATTTACTTGCCAGTGGTTCTGGGTTTTTTATACACAGACGATTTCAATGCGTCTGGTTGGCGCTTTTGGTTGGTTTTCGCAAAGACTCGGTGCTAGCATAACAGTGGGGTTTTTTGGTGTCGGGGCTCTGTTTGGGATGGTGAAAACACAGAAATAGGGTTCAGGCTCGTAACCGCTTTGGTGGAAAAAACATTCAGAGGTTGATGTTGATGTATGTGACCATACAGGTCCTCTGAAGAATTTGGCCTTGACTACCCTCATAGCGCCATTGTTCCAAACAATCCCATTTCTTTTTCTGTGCATTCAGTTTGTTTCCTTGGGAATCGAGCTCGTAGTTTCTGGATGTGTTTGTTGGCCATAAAGGCTGCAGATGTTTTTTTTTTTTTAGTCATTGTCCTACCCCCCTCGCACAAACACGGCGAGCAGGTGTTGTTTGTCCGTGGGCATTCTTCTTCTTAACAGTCCCAATGCCACTCATTGTGTCGCACATAACTAAACACAGTCAACAACATTCCTGTGCGAATACACACTCACTCACACACACACAAGCAGATATGCCACTCGGCATTTTCCCTGTGGCTGGTCAGTTTTAATGGTTCATGAACTGCAAAAAAAGAACATGATTTATGTCCAGATATAAATCTAGCATGATTCCAACCATTGTCATTTTCGGCTTTGAGCACTCGTTCTTTAATTTAGTATTTTCACATAATTTCTATCATAGATAATTGAATTTGGTTGAGTTAATCCATTTGTTTTCTATGTCCACTTATTCCATTTCTGCTTGATTGGGGGGCTGGAGCTTAAGCCGGCTGTCATCGGGCCAGAGTTAGCCCTATAATGCCAAATGTATCACTTTTGATTCATACGGTTTCTGAAGTCTTTTGGATCTGAGACTTTTTGCATCATTCAATGGTAAAAGCTTTGCTCAAAGCCCTGTTGTACACATTCAGACATACCTTAAAACAGCGTGTAGAAGACTACAAGAAAATATATTTTTGACTTATTGCACGCTAATTTGCTAAAATAATTTAAGTTTTTTTTTTCTTCATATGTTGTTGAGGGGCCAAAGAAAGACTTCAGACTAAAAAAATCCAACATTCTTCCCATTGTTCTTGGTCAGGCTTTAAAGGGACACCTTGGACAGGTGACCAGTCCATCACAGGGCCACCAAGAGATGAATAACTTCATCAACCTTCTGCAGAGCTTGAGGTGCTAAAGGGATGTCCCATTTATTGGTGTCCTGTGTCTTCCCCTTGTTACCGTTTCTTGTAAATTAGCTTTGCTTGTCTATTATTTTTCTTTAGCATTTTTAGCATTCACTCTATGGTTTTCATCCTTAAACTCATCAAACAACTTTTGACCTTTATCTGACAAGTCCGTGTTTGGGATTCTCAACTATCTGGTCTTAAGGAAAAATAGAAAAAACTTCACAAACTTTGGGAAAATGTTAATTTAGTGGAGAGAGATGAGGTGCCTTAACTGATGTGAAACGAAGCATTGGCAGGTTACAGTGGTCAAACTGTCCATCCTCAGTGTGTGCATAATGTGGACTTAACTCCTTCTCAGTTAAATTTCTATGCATCCACCATTTGTTATGACACTGTAAAACTCAAAAGTGTTATGTTATTCATATAATGATAACCTAGTAAATCAGTTAATATTGCACTT